AAATTCTTTTCCTTATACAATTAGGAAATATGCTACCAATTTATTAATTCTTTACTGAGATATCCATGTCAACATAAATTGCTATGATGAATTCTTTTGTTATTCGAAATTCACTAATTTAAATTTGTGTTCCTTACTATATATATAAAAAATAATCTAAACAACGTTATTCTTTTTCAAAAAAGCTTAAGACAATTTGATTTTAATTTGCTGGATATGTATTCCCCTATTATTGTCCAAAGATAGGTTTTTAGTTAACCTAAGTTAATATGGTATCCATCGCTATGTCAAAATAAATTGGTAAGGCAAACTCGAACGGCACAAAGTTTAATTAAATTCGGTCATGAGATTTTCTTTTTTTAAGATCACCTCTCTGAAACTTACTAATTCATATTTGCACCAAGGCCAAAGATAGAAAACTTCATGTCAAAAAGTTTCTTTTTTAAAGATTAAACTGAGTCTCTAATTAAGAGTTACATGGAGGGATCTGATACGATCCTCTCCACTTATTTAGTAAATTGAAATTACGCTTACTGAATTTTAGATACTAATTTACCTATTGATAAAGTTAGTAGTATCAAGTTTAAGGTAGCCGTAATAAAAGTTGTACACATAAACAGCTAGGTTACAGGTCGAAGGAAACTGGAAAGGTGTTAGCAACAAATAATACTCAAACCTATCTTTCACACGTTAAAATTTCAAAAGAATCACCAATAAACAAACATATTACAAAGTGCCCTCCAACTTCAGCTTTCCATTTCCTTGAGCTCATTTTTATGAACCACAACAAGCTGATTTCTGGGAAGTTTGACTACCTCCAGCTCCTGCTTCTGGTTGATTAATCTTGAGTGTTGACGGCTGCAACGACGTCAACTATGAGCATACAGTATTTGGAATTTGGAAACAGCAAATATTAAAAAGTATATTCAACTCACCTCGGCCTTGGAGTCTGTGTCTGCAAGCCTTTGTTTTATATCTCTTGCTATTGAGAAGAAAACTTGTTCCACGTTAAGATTTGTCTTTGCACTCTGCGGGGAATGTATAACAGAGTTATATTTACAACACGAAAACCTACCACCATTTCTTTCTAGGTTGTTGACCATACTTACAGTTTCAAAAAACTTAATTCCGTACTCATCTGCAAGTGCTTGACCCTTTGCTGTAGGGACAGCCTGCAAAAAGGGTTCGTTCATATAAATATTAGATTTGCAGTAAAACACGGACCTTCAAACTCTTATGGGAGGCAGGAAAAGTTCAGATTTAAAATCAGTCCAAACAAAGAATCTACCCTCTTGCTTTCATCCATGTCGGCCTTGTTCCCTACAAGTATTTTGTTAACATTGTCTGAGGCATGCTGCTCAATGTTACGAATCCAGTTCCTGATGTCTGTAGGTAAGATGAAACAATTAGAATCCATACACATAGGAGTATACTGCACAAATGACAGCAAACACATAAAAGAGTTATGGAATGATGAAACACATTCACTTGAATCCTAAAAAGGGTGAGTATTCGCAAAATGAACTACACCCTGATATTATAGGAGAAACAGGATAAAGAACCTTACTGTTAAAGGAGGATTCATCAGTTACATCATACACCAACAGTATACCCATGGCTCCACGATAGTAAGCTGGAGAAAATTGTAATCAGAAAAAGAAGCAATAAGTACACAGGGAAACAGAAAAACACAAGGAAGATCATTTTTTCCTTTTAATACGAGAGCAATGTATTCTTGAAAATGAGAAACAGGCATAAGGATAACGACCCATTAACTTTGCAAATATAATATGATAGAGAATATCAATTAAAACCGACTCTCTTCATTGGGGCAAGAGTATAAACGGTCACATGGAAACGTAGGGAAGAAACAGAAGGGGGAGAAAAACATCACAAAAGCAAACTTCTCTAAATAAGATGGAAAAAAAAAATGGAATAAACTTCTCGTGGTCATAATGGCCAGACTCCTTTATAACCTCTTATGCCAGACTCCTCAATAACAACATTGATGTAACACCATCAGAGCTTTTATCAATGAACAACCATGACAACATACCAGTAGTGATGGTCCGAAAACGTTCCTGACCAGCTGTATCCCATATCTGAAGCTTGATTCTTTTTCCATCAAGCTCAATGGTTCGAATTTTAAAATCAATTCTAACAAAATTAAATAGAAGCAACCATTAAGAAATATTTGTACACAGAAAACAAGGGACATGATTTTTAAGGGCATTCTGAAGCAATTACCACAGAAGTATAACTAAGAGAGAGAACTCACCCGATAGTTGTGATGAAGCTTGTGGTGAAGGAACCATCAGAGAAACGTAAAAGAAGACAACTCTTACCAACACCTGCAGTGCAGACACCAAAGAAACAATTGGTTATATAAAAAACAATCCACAATCATTCTCTATAGAAGTCACGCAAAGACACTACATAACCTCCAAGTGCAATGAAGAGGATGCAGAATAAGAAG